CCACGCCCGGCTATTTTTTGATTTATTGTAGAGATGAGGTCTCACCAAGTTGCCCAGGTGGGACTCAAACCCGCGGGCTCAGGCAATCCACTCACCTCAGCCTCCCAAAGCGCGGGATTACAGGCTGAGCCACCGAGCCCGGTTAGGTGTCTGATAATTCATTGCCTCTGTTTTCTTAGCACTAGGAAGCATAATTTTTACTGTTATTTGATATTTCAAGAACCTGTTTTCTCTCCCCCACCTAGTTTAATTTCTATAAATATAAGCAAGGACAGTCTTCTCAGTCCACTCACCTGATTAGTAATGTCGTAAACCACAATTGCAGCTTGGGCACCCCTGTAGTACATGGGGGCTAAGCTGTGGTATCGCTCTTGCCCAGCTGTGTCCCAGATTTCAAACTTGACTGTTGTGTCATCTAGACAAACGGACTGGGTGAGGAAGGCCGCTATGGATGACAGATGGAGAGGAAGAAGTTGTAAGTGGGAGGATGAATGGAAGCATCCCAGCCCCCTTCAAAATATCCCCACTCTAAGACCAGTGACCACCCAGGCTATGCAGCTACAGGAAAAGAATTGGCATTCTCCTTACATATAAGTCTTAGAATCAGGATTAGGACTGCCCTTGGCTACATCCTTCCTGCCAAAAGTTTGTCTGCTTAAGGAATAGGGGTAAATCATAAACTAAGAGCAATAGAGAGAACTGGCAATTATACCAGAGTCATCCTTCTTCTAACCAAAACAGGGGAATAACAAATAATGAGAGACAATAGCTTTAGATAAAAGTCACATCAAGAATTAATTAGATTTCCAAGCTTGATGGCAGGTTCCACCATTAGCAATATCATTTGGTTGTTACTTTTTCACATAATCTTCTACTACAGGTCCGGGAACACATTTCCAAGGTGATTCATAAAGGGGGGAAAGAGTAACATGGGGTCTTCATAAAAGATCTTGTATTCAATCAGCATCCTATTTGGGGGCAGTGGCAGGGAAAAGGTAACAAAGGAGGGAAAGGTAGATGCCCTTTATATTTGGGATTAGTTCTAGCCTCTGTTGTGGCAAAATCACCTAAGGAGTTTTTCCAAACACCATGCCTATGCTGCTACCACCAGCCTTATTCTACCTCCAATACTAATCAGCAGATCTGGGGAAGAGCCCAAGCACGTACAGGTTGAAAATGCTGGCTGGGTTTGGTGGCTCAGCCTGTAATCCCATGCTTTGGGAGGCCGAGGTGAATGAATTGCCTGAGCCCATGGGTTCGAGACCTTCCTGGGCAACTTGGCGAGACCTCATCTCTACAATAAATCAAAAAATTAGCCAGGCGTGGTAGCACGTGCCTGTAGTTGTAGCTACTTGGAAGACTGAGGTGGAAGGATCGCCGGAGCCCAGCAGGTCAAGGCTGCGGTGGCCGGGAGCGGGCATTGCACTCCAGTCTGGGCGACAGAGTGAGACTCAAACTCAAACTCAAACTCAAAAAAAAAAAAAAAAAAAAAGATGATACAGTGGGAAAAGAAAGACTGACAGATAAAAAACGGATTTTCTCAGTGTGCAAAGGAAGTGAGAGAAATCACAGCAATTATTTGTCTTTGTTTTTATAAGGGGTTTCCATTCCTGGGGAAAAGAATGGGACTAAGAAGCCCAGCTCCTAAATCTCCTTTCAAAAACCTTACCAAGAATTGCTCCTCTTCTCTCCCTGAGTACTCACCTCCAATGGTGCTCTCCTGGTACTCATGGAATTGCCCTTTGACAAAACGTAACACAAGACTTGATTTCCCCACTGCAGATTCTCCCAGCAGGACCAATTTGAACTGACATATTTTGCTGGCCTGGGGCTGCCCGTTGGGCCTGGCTGTGCTTCTGCTAGTCATGGCCAGATTATCAGAGTGGGAAAGGGTGGAGGGAGGGGGATGTCGCAAAGGGGGGAGGGGGAAGGGGAGGGGACTTCCAGGTTTCAACAGTCCTGCAAGGAAAAAAGTGGGTAAAATTAACCATACGTCCATTGAAGCTACGATTGTTTTTTAGAGGAAGGACAGGATCTTTTCATTCCCTTGCTCCTACAAGGTCCTGACTCTTGTAACTATCCACCATTGAAACGTTACACATCTGAGAAGGCCCCAGGTAGCTAATACTCAGTGATAAGAGTGGGGAACAGTAAAATAAGAACTGCTTCTGAACTAGAGTTTGCCCTACCACATCATCTCTAACTGCCAAGGGAGTTGAAATGGAGAGTCTGAAAACTGAGAGTTTTTAATCGCCCATTAATTCCTGACCAGGTCTTTTCTTTTTTTTGAGTCGGAGCCTCATTCTGTTGCCCAGGCTGCAGTACACTGGCATGCTCACAGCCACTGCAGTCTATACCTGCTGGGCTCAGGTGGTCCTTCTGCCTCAGCCTTCCAAGTAGCTGGAACTACAGGCGTGTACCACTACGCCCAGCTAATTTTTTTATCTATTGTAGAGAAGTCTCACCATTTTGCCCAGGCTGGTCTCGAACAAGTGGGCTCAGGCAATCCTCTCGCCTCAGCCCAAGTGGGCTTAGGCAATCCTCTCACCTCAGCTGGGATTACAGGCATGATCCACCATGCCTGGCTAGGTCTTTTCAAAGTTGGTTTTTTTGTTTTGTTTTTGAGTCATACAAAGGGATCAACCTTTAGTTGGCCTAGAGAATATCCAGTATCTCCTTGATATCCTGGTGCTGTGTTCTTTTTCCTTTTCCTTTGTTTGTTTTTAAGTTTTTTGCTAAAATGATAGATTCACTCTAGGGGTATGGGATAAGAGGGGTAGGCAGGTCGCTTCTGGTTCTGTATCCTTCATATATGTCCAGTACTCCTGAAAAGACATTTCTGAAGCTCTAACCAGGGTCCTATTGCCAGGAAATCTATCCTTTCTCATTTCTGGTTAAAGGTGAAGAAGGAAATACAACCAACAGATCACATTCAGTATCAACTCTCTCACTTTGTTTCTGCTTTCCAAGTCTGAAAGTCTATCAAGTCTGAGAGTCAGTCGCCTTGACCTACTCTCAACTTGCAGCTGTCTTGCTGGTGCCTAGGGATTAGATTACCCTCCACACCAAAGGGGCCTAACAGCTGTAGCCCTCCAAATTAGAGGCAGAGAAAGGTATCCCTCTAAACACACAGGCGTCTCCAGAGGATGGTACAGGGGATAAGTCTACAATCAATCAATATTTGATGAAAGAATATACTGAATCAACTCCTCTACCTTCCAAGAGGGCTAAGAAAGCTGCTGGTGGGGGAGGGAACAGAGAGAAAAGTTGGGACTTTGAGATTCTAATCATTCAAACCAGAATATATTTCATCATCCTGACTCTGAGAACTATGAAATGCAAAGAGGAGTTAGCATGGACAGAGCATGCAAAAACCTCTTTCCAAAGTCTAAGCATTGCTTGAGTTGTACTTTGTTTGTTCAAATTAATCTTTCCCTTCTCCAAAGTTGATTCTTATGACTCCACAGATATCATATTCTGTAGCATATATGGAGAAACATTTTTTTCTTTTTCTTTTTTCCTTGAGTTGGAGTCTCATTCTGTCACCCAGACTGGAGTGCGGTGGCATGCTCCCAGCCACCGCAGCCTCGACCTGCTGGGCTCCAGTGATCTTTCTGCCTCAGCCTTCCAAGTAGCTGGAACTACAGGCGCGCGCTACCATGCCCGGCTAATTTTTTGATTTATGGTAGAGATGAGGTCTCGTCAAGTTGCCCAGGCGGGTCTCGAACCCACGGGCTCAGGCAATCCACTCACCTCAGCCTCCCAAAGCGTGGGATTACAGGCTGAGCCACCGAGCCCGGCTCTAGAGAAACATCTTTTCTTCAGTACAATTAGTGAATCTGAAGTTAAACTGGGGTTAAAAAAATCTCAGCAATTGCCAGGCACAGAGGCTCACGCCTGTAATCCCAGCACTTTGGGAGGCTAAGGTGAGAAGATAACCTGAGCCCAGGGGTTCAAGACAAACCTGGGCCATTTGGTGAGACCTCGTCTCTACAATAAATCAAAAAAATTAACCGGACATGGTGGCATGTGCCTGTAGTTCGTTACTTGGAAGGCTAAGGCGGAGGGATCGCCTGAGCCCAGCAGGTCGAGGATGTGGTGGCGGTGAGCATGCCGCTGCACTCCAGCCTGGGCGACAGAGTGAGACTCCAACTAAAAAAAAAAAATCTCAGCAATCCTACAGACTATATAGTAAAGACAGAAAATCATACAGGAGGCAACACAGAAGAGCAAAGGCTCTGTAATCCAGTTCTCCAGGTTTGTTTTCCAGTTCTACTTTTTAGCTGTGAAGCCTGGGGGGTAAGTTACTAAATATATGTGTGCATTCATTTTCTCATCTGTAAGATGGGATAATAGCCTTATAAGCACCTACTTCATAAGGCTGTTTAAAGATTGAGATAATACATACACAAAACTTAAGTTAGTATTTGATATAAACTAAGTGCTAAATAAATTTAAGCTACTAATCACTATTAATATGACATTAAGAAATTACTTGTCCTCTCTGAGCCTTACCCTCCACATTTGTAAAATGGAAAAAATAGCTATGAGGATTAAGTGAAGGATGTATTTAGCACTGTGCTAATAAATAATAGGTAGATATTGTCATTTAGTGGTTCTGCTTTTGGTGATCCAGAATAAAATCAAATTAACATATTAACATATATCTCAATATTATTTGTCATCAATATATTCCCAAAAAGAAGCCATGATATGAAAGAGGTACAGAGAAAGAAAAAGAGAGAAAAACAAAAGGGTAAAAGATGAAGTTAGCACAGAAATGAGACAGAGGTAAGAACACAAAGTCCTAGCCGGACTCGGTGGCTCAGCCTGCAATCTCGCGCCTTTGGGAGGCTGAGGTGAGTGGATTGCCTGAGCCCGCGGGTTCGAGACCCGCCTGGGCAGCGAGATCTCATCTCTACAATAAATAAAAAAATCAGTCGGGCGTGGTAGCATGTCTGTAATTCCGGCTACTCGGAAGGCTGAGGCGGAAGGATTGCCAGAGCCCAGCAGGTCGAGGCGGCCACTGCACTCCAGTCTGGGCGACAGAGTGAGACTCCAACTCAAAAAAAAAAAAAGACTTCTAACTTCTTGCTTTCTTAGTATAAATTTTATCTGGAAGAATAAGGTATATATAACCTCTAAGACCTACTGTGAAGTTGAAAAAAAAAGGTGTAGAACAAAACACAGTTGGATTCCATTTTTGTAAAACAAAACAAAAATCTGCACAGAAAAAGGTATGGAAGGATATATAATATCCTATTATATGCCTATTAATAGTGGTCATCTCTGAGGAAAATGGGGTTATGGCAGGAAGTATGAGAAGGAGTCTTTCTTTTGCATTTTACACAATTCTTTGTTTTTAAACAGGGAATATATTTTGGAGAGGCCTGACACTGAAAGATGGATTAGTAAAGATGGAAGTAAGCTTAGTCTCTGGGCAGCCTGTAACTATGGTTACTACTAAAGTACTTCTAGAAGAAATTCCGATGAGGGCTGAATGCTGAGTTCTCCAGGAGTCAGAGGACTCCTCAACCCTGCTACTAAAGTTATAGAGCTATCATGACAGTGGAAGGTGTCAACCTAGACAGAAGCATCCTGTGTAGTGGTAAGGGCTCTGGCTTCAGGCAAGCATGAGATCTGTTCTCTGCTTTGCCACTTAACTCACTGAGATCTTAGGCTACTGACTCCTTTTGCCTTTCTGATCCTCAGCTTCCTTATGGATAGGATATTTGGAGGAGACTAGGATTGGTAAAAGTGGCAAAGTGCAGAATTTGAATTCACTTCCAAATTCTGCACACATTTAAGAAAATTGCTTTTCTTCTTTTTTTTTTTTGAGTTGGAGTCTCACTCTGTCACCCAGACTGGAGTGCAGTGGCACGCTCCTGGCCACCACAGCCTCCACCTGCTGGACTCCAGTGATCCTTCTGCCTCAGTCTTCCAAGTAGCTGGAACTACAGGCGCACACTACCACTCCCGG